TGATATATAAAATTAATATAAATAGGTGTTTTTAAATATATAAATTATATTTTAGATTTAAGATAAATAAATATATTATTTTTAGAAATCTTTTCTATATTTATCAAAATAAAATATATCAATAACTTATTTTAAAAATATTAAAATTTAATTCATCATTAAATATCATAAATAAAAAATTGAATTAAATAAAAAAAATTTAAAAAAATATCTCAAAATGTTCTCATTGAAGAATAGATTCTAAAAACACTTTCATACAAAATAACTTATTCATGTTTAATATATAAGGTTGATATATAAAATTAATATAAATAGGTGTTTTTAAATATATAAATTATATTTTAGATTTAAGATAAATAAATATGTTATTTTTAGTAATTTTTTTCTACACTTACCCAATAAAAATATAATTAATGATAGCTTATTATAAAAATATTAAAATCTAATTAATAAATAATTATGATAAATAAAAAAGTTTGAAATTAGATAGAAAGTTAGAAGAATTCGTAAAACACTTTTAGCTCCTAAAACTACTTTTGTGTAAGATAATCATTCACAATTAATTTATAAGACTTAATGAATTAGATAAAAAAAAAAGTTAAAAGAATCTTTCGAAACATACTTGTCAAAAAATAACTTCTAAAAATATTATTGTATAAAACAATCGTTCCTATTTAATATATAGAAGTCAATATACTCTATTAATTGTATATATTAATAAAAGTGGGTAATTGATTTATGGATTTGAGTCCTCTAAAATGAGTTGGTATATTTTAGATGATAAAGTACATTCATAATTATTAATTAGAAAATCAACAATTGATAAATGTAATGGAATCAAATTCTTATAGAATAAAATATAAAATTAATTATAATATTAACTGTTGATTTTTTAATTATTGGTTATTATTACGCTTTATTCCCTAAAGTGTGGTTTTATCAATTTAAAAGAGATAATTTTTTTAATAGAAAGTTAATGATTTTAAAATTTATGAAAGTCTTATTATAATAAGAATTTTGTTGGATTGATAGAATATGATAGTTTTATTTTATCCTTCATCACATTATGTTTGTTGAGTTTTTTTTTTATCTTGAGAGGGAAATAAAATATAAGGATAATATATATATATATATATATATATATATATATATATATAT